TGATGGCAACACTCCATGGCGTCAAATGTTTCTCTCTCTTGAGATACTCAGACAGAGCTAACGGTGTCTCATATGACAGGAGTCCAGCCCTCGAGAGGTAGAACGAGTCGATTATGAAGTTCGTGCGGTCGCTGACCGTCAGGTCCGACAGTATACTGTTCTGGTCGTTGACCAGCGCGTCGATCCATTTCCCCCAATCCTCCTCCGGATAGTTCACTAAATAAAAGCCCTCACTATTGGTGTTGATCTTTAAGAGACCGTTAAGACTGGCATCAGTTTCCACGGTAATTGTCTCCTCTTTTTTGGTTATGAACTCCAATTGGGTCTGTTTTTGTGGTTTTAGTGATTTATAGTATGAAAAGGGAACTGACCAGACAGTGCTATTTTTAATGCAAAACAATTTTCAAATCTATTTATTATAAAGTCTTAATTTTAATATACTCAGAATCAATTGTCTGTCCATTGGCTAAAAATCTTTGTTGTGTAACAGTCAGTATATTTTTTGATATTGGATCAAGTCTAGAAATGTTCAGATACGGAAAGCCTGCTTTTGTAGTCCAACTATTCATTAAATCGTGTATCTTAATAGTTGCCGCCTATACGGTACGCACATAATGTTTAAACATTTAATAAAGTTTTCAAAAGTTTTCAAAAGTTTTCAAAAGTTTTCAAAAGTTTTCAAAAGTTTTCAAAAGTGACAATACGGTTACGGTTACATGAGTATTCTCTTTTTCGAGTTCATCCCAGAGTTGTACTGTTTCCACAACATTGTATTCATTAGCTTTTATGTATGCTGTGAGTGCCTTCTGGAAAGATGTCGTTCCCATCACGAACTCAAGCATTCGTAGTACAGATGCACCCTTTAATGCAGACAATTATTTTGTAATTAAATCATATATAATGTACAATTAATTTATTAATTTAAAATACCTTATTATAGACGATAGCACTGGTATAGGCTCTCTCTTCAGGCTCTCTCACCGGTCTTACAATGGAGTGAGAAGTGGCCGAAGAATCGGCGGTCAGCGCTGACAGCGTATCAGTCATTAAGAATAAGTCAAACTAATAGTGGTTTGAAAATAAATTAATATTAATATAAAATTAAAACCTTGCTAATATTCTCACGTAATTCCAAGTGGTCTCAACTGATTCAACGGCTGCGTATTCTAGATATGATGCAAACGCCTCATTCAGCCATAGGTCTGACCACCACTTGCAAGTGACCAGATTTCCAAACCACTAAATTGTATATTATTGTTAATATTTATTATGATTTACTCAAATTATATCATTTGTTTGCATACCATGTGTGTAATCTCATGAGCGATCACCGCAATGGTTGCCATCTTATTAGCCGAAGTGGACTCGTCCTCGTGGTATAACATAGCCGTCTCTCTGAATGTAATCAAACCCCAGTTCTCCATCGCACCGGCAGAAAAGTCGGGGATCGCTATAA